TCATCTCTATTCTTCACTCTCTGAATCCATCAATCCCACTCTCTTGTATCTCTTATACAAAATCATTTATTTTATAAACAAAAAACACCATCTTGACAAAAAGATCGGGTCATTGACTATGCTTACAAGGCTTGGCTAATGGGATACTGTGTCTTTAGTGGAAGTTCAGCCAATATTAATGAGGCTCTATCTAGGCAAGTATGTTTCTATGGAAATAACAGGAACTGTGATTCTTTGGTAGAATTACGTGGGTTGTCATCAGTGAAGATGGTTGTATTTAAGAAGGAATAGTTTTGTGACAAATTAACAAAAAAGAATTTGATGAAAACAAAAGAACCAAATGACTTCTGTGCTGTTTTGATTATCTTCGTGGGGTGGGCAATGTAAACAATGAAATACTTTCCTCATTGAGAGCAGGAGCCTTGCTCTTCTGGATTAACTGGAAACACCTTTAAGTGCTTCCTCAGATGCTGTTCCCACACAGTTTCACCTCCTAACACTAAGCTTTCCAGCATCAGGGTGAAGCTCTGGTCTCTCTGGTTTCCCATGATATTAAGAATTGCTCAAGAGCTGAATGGGGCCTTTTTTTTTAATTAAAAGAACTCCAGGTGTTGGAGACAGTTTTTCTTCCTATCCCTAGCTTAAATAATAAAATGGTACCGCTGCATTCATTTATATACAGCAAAATATTGAATACTGAAATATGTTCTGCATAAGCTTGGCCTATTCTCTTTCTTTCATATCCCACAATAACTAACTATTCCATGTTTTTATCTTGTATGCAAGGAATTCTGAGACCATTCACTTGAACCATCTTGTCAGCAAGGTCACAACAGCAGCTTTGTGTGACAGGTACACACAGCTCAGACTCTTCAGGGACCACTCTTAAAATCACCTCTAAAGTAAGAACAAGGCTTCTTTTGTTATTACTATTTTATTTCTCTGTTTCTGGGCATTTTGTTTGAATTTTCATTTCCTTCTTTTAGGTGATTTTCTTTCCCCAGAGGTTATGAAGCTGAAGGAAGACTGAACTTTCTCATGTGTAAGAATAGAACATTACTCATTATGATTATGGTATAATATATATATATTTTTTCTATTCTCATATAGAAGCACAGATCCAGGACACTTTATGCTTGATCTAAATGAGTCCTGCAGAAGCTCAATGTAAATCAAATTCCCTAAGAGGCCTGCTACCAATAAGAATTATGGTGAAACTCTTGTTATAAAGAAAAGTTATTTTTCAATAAGAAAATAATATTACCTGATGATGTTAGGTTTCACTTATATTGAGCTTTTATTAACCTAAAAATCATATATGCAGAATTTAAGTAAGCAATTATCATGGAAATCTTTGGCCAAGGAATAACTCACTAGCAGAATGGAATACTTTCAGTAATGTCATTAGGGTCAGTTACTGCTGTATAAACAGGTGACTGGCTATAGTTTATATAAATGACCATTACCCTGAGCTCCGGTTTACCAGCTAAAGCCTGGTGAAGCACAGTGAACCAACTCTGCTCTGAAGAAATTTATACTCCAGTCAATGGAGACATTACAGAGAAACATAGTTAGAGAAGACAAGCATTATGAACATGTTGATTGGATGCAGAGAATAAATATGAAAATCACTAAGAAAAGATTCTGGGTTGATAGTGGGAGGAGGTTGACACACACAGAAGACATGAGGAGGGAAGCTGTAAACAGAGACAATGTTTAAAACTAGAATGACACTAAACCTGAAGTGAAATGAATGTTAGGTGAGTGTTGAGGAGATAATGAGGTTTCTCATTTTTGTCATTAATTTACAGTGAAGAAAAGTAGAGAATAAAGCTACGTTACTAAGAATCACATCAAATAGTGGGTGATCCTAAAATATAATAGAAAAGACCATAAAAAAGGAGCAAATGATGAAAAGTAAGGCTATGTCTGTTGAAGGCAAAGTAAAAAGGCAGGTGAGCACAGAAGATGGACAGAAAGGCAAAGTTTGGAGAATGACATTAATTACAGGTGAATGAAAGTCATCTAGACTATGTAGGTACCCAGGTAACAGACAGATCAGAAGTTATGGACAAAGGAAAACAAAACTGGGGGCTCAGTCATGGGAAGGCTTTCCTGCACATGGACACGGGGGACCTTCCATGTGATGTGATCAGCCACCCAGTCACATTGAAAACCAGAATGTCAGCCCCAGGGAGCCGGATCTAGCCTGTTGGGCTGTTGGCTGTTACATTTCCAGTGCTTAAAATAGTACTGCACAGCAGGGGCTCAAAACATATTTTCCAAATATATGATATTTAATTTTTGTAATCTTCACCAGAGGATATGTTTTCATTGATTTGGAAGAGAGAGTGAGAGAGAGATAGAGAGAAACATTGATGTGAGAGAGAAACAATTGCCTCCCCTATATACCTCAGCTGAGGATTAAACCTGTAACTTTTTGGTGTACAGGACAACACTTCAATCAATTGAGTCACCTAGCCAGGGCTTGAATATTTACTATTTACAAATAGAGTTTGGAGTTCACTTTTTTGGAAACCTCTAAATCTTTCAGGTAGTAAACTTTAGTGTCAAAAACACACACTTTAAAATCAAGTAGACCTATGTTCAACTACTGACTACTTATAAAACTTGTCATGTGGATTGACTACTTAACTTTTTTGATTCTCAGTTTTCTCATTTGTAAAACAGCCACCACTATTCATCTTGCAGTTTTATTATGAGGCTTAGAGATTATGAATGTAAAGTGCCCAATGTATACCCAGGCACATATTAGTTACCCAGAGTCCATGCCCCCTGTGAACTAAGAGCAGGTGTCACACAATTACTCTCTTCACTTTGATCCAACATTACATGTTTCTGATTTATACCATTTATCACTTTGTACTACAGTTAACATGTCTATCTTCTCTCCCTCAATATACTAACTTCTTCGTACACCAAAAACCATTTTCTTTAATGTGCCTAGGAAATTGCTTTACTGAAATTCAGCATAATTCTTTTCTCAGTCAAGTTTTCCTGATCTGTTCAATCAGAATTCAGTAGTTTATTTTCAAGTTATATGGCATCCTTTATTCCTGACCTTGCAAAATCTTAGGCTCATGTTTGTCTTTCTTCTTCGAGCATGGGCATTATAAAGACAGGGGACAATGTTGTAGCCACAGATAGTTGGTGCCTAGTAAACTTCTTGCACTTACTCCTTATGTGAAAGGAGAGATGAATATATATGATTATGAAATCATATAATGCAAATTGACTGGGCAAGCTAAGATTAAAAGAATGAAATACCTACCAGAAGGTACAGTTTCCACAGAAATTATTCTTAGAAAAATGGACCAGTAGAAAAATAAATAAATTTAAAAAGTTTAAGAACTCTTTCCTATAGATGGTTTTGAGGAAGATGTCTGACATAACAGGAGAGTTTAGAGAAATGTTAAAAAAACTAATCATTATTATACACCTGTCTTGATATTGAAAATAGTAGCTACTGTATTCCACTTGAGTGATGAGTTAGGTACTTTCCATTCATTTCTGATTCGAAGAACCAGTGACCATAGAACCTCATCTTGTCAGTCAAGAGCACTCACTAAGCTTCCACAATGTGCAGAGCAGAAAGTTGAAGAAAATGATCATTAAATATGAAGATATGGGTATCCTCTGAGATTAGGAATCTAATTGGACAGACAGGGACATTGAAAAGACTCAATGAACTAAGACTCAATTTCACATCATATTCTCAGATAAGGTGGACAGTTTGGTAATATCATTATGATATCAAGGGATAAAGCTGGAAGTAAAATTCAGCCAAAATACTGGAAACAAATTTCTTCACTGGCATGTGGTGACTTGTAGAATAAACCAAAAATATAAGTTTTTTTAAATTTTACTCCTTGCATCATAATTTATTACTCTGCTTAAACAAAAAAAAAAGAAATATTTAATTAATCATTGCAGGGCATTTATAGAATTTAAAGATATATTCATGGGTTTTCTAGCAAGAGCATCTATTTTTTCCTAGAAAGCACAACACTCATATATATATATTCTATCAAATCCAAATGTTATTACCCAATAAAGGAAGTAGAGTACTTTGTCTATAAAAATTATATGAAATCTATATTTTTAAAGTGTAGCCTCTGGAACATAGGAAATTCTGTATAACTAAGACAATATTTCATTATTTATTGATTTGTGTGTACCAAAAAAGAGGGCACATTATTTTACTTTTAAATGGATACTGTTAGTAAAAATGAGGCTATTTTAATACTCTAGTGCCAACATAAAACATATTTTTCTTAATCTTTAAGATCAGTTTATAGATATTAGGGGAGAAATTGCTTTTCGATATTATTCCATATTAATTTTTCAATATTGTAACTTACTTTAATACATTATTAGTGTTACTGTCTTTAATGGCATTAAAGAGCACATTTAGCAAAATGTAAAATCAGTTTAAGCTTGTAATCTTTAAAAAAAAAGTAAGAATTAAGTAGATACAGATGCCTGACTCCAGAACACAGCAATATGTGTATGAAAAATCTAAATGATGATCTCATAGAGAACATTTAACTTAAAGGCTACCTATAAACCCCAAACAAGATGATCAGCACTCCTAGGAACAATGCTGCAATTGTCATGAAATGAGAGGGATCTTGTCAACATGTGAACTATGATAGGGTACCCTCCCAAGCAGCTTTGTCCCTGTTAGCTCCTATTCGTGTTGTGAATCAGGCTTGTTTATCTGTCATGGAACATTTCCTAATCCTTAATTTCCAGGCATTCACTTTAGCTACTGACACAAATGCATTTTGCAAATAGAATGGTACACTGTGTTCTGCTAGACATTTCAACCCTTGTATGTGTTTTTTTAAGATGCTTTTTTGAACCTTCTGGCTGGGAAAGGTCTGGGAAGGTGGTCTTAAAATGAATGGGAACTGGTTTTCTACAGAGACACTGTAGAGCCCTGATCTGTTATTAAAATAAAAAAAAATAGCTCCTACCTTGAACACAAACATCTCCCGGCGGAGAACGGCGAGTGTGTTGAAGTTGCCATCACAGATGTTGGGTTTGGCTCCTGGGTAGGAGGGTTTGCCTGTGGGTGGCCGGGGTGGCTTGGGTTTGTCATTTCTCCTCGGGTCAGCTGGGGGGAGGGAGCGGTGTGGGGGCACTGTGGGAAGAGGTCTAGTTGGTGGAGGCATCTTGTCTGGTGGACCTTTGGGAAACATGGACAGAACTTGGCTCACTTAAAGCTGGAGCAAGAGCACAACCACACATCAGCAGAGGGCTCACTCTAAGAGGTTTTTAATTGTAAGAAAAAACAAAGTGTCTGACTCAACAAACCATAGCCAGATTTATCAGAAAATCTGCTTTTCATGCTCAATTCTGGGTCCAAATAACTAGACTTTCTTTTTTAATTTTTAATGACAGTTTTTATAACTTCACAACAGTCCTCATTGAAGAAGCTGCTTTCAAATCTCTTTTGGAAGAAGGTGGTGTACAAATAATAAATAAAGGGAAATGAATACTGGAACCATGTGTGTTAATGCCACCAAAATTAACCCCAGATTTTGAGGAATCATGATTCTATGCAAATATTTCTAGAAGATAAACAATAATGAATGAAATTTTCTTTAACCGTATGTCTCAAATTATATTTTATAACTTTTTCCTCACTTTCATAATTTTCTTCTAATGAAATGTTTTGATGAATTGTTAGAAGAGTTTCATGTGAATACCAAATCTAATACTCCTATTGATTAAAACACCATTAGAAAACTATTAATGTGAAAAAGCATTTCCAAAGAGAGAGGTCTAAATCAAGGCACAGTTTACACACGTAACTGGGTACAGATGTAAAGTACCATTCTTCAAGAAATTTGTATTTTAAAAAAGAAACACAGGCCCTGACCAGTTTGGCTCAGTTGGTTGGAGCATGGTCCCATAACCAAAAGGTTGTGGGCTCAATTCCTAGTCAGGGCACATACCTGGGATGCAGGTTTGATCCCGGTCAGGGTGTGAATCATCCCCGGTCCGGGTGCATACAAAAGGCAACCAATCGATGCTTTTCTCTTGCATCGATGTTTCTCTCTGTCCCTTCCCTTTTCCCTTCCTCTCTCTCTAAAAGTAATGACAAAAAATGTCCTTGGGTGAGGATTAAACAGAAAAAAAAGACAGAACCACAGACCTGTTTGCACCTAATACACAGGTGGCAAACACAAGGCCTGTGGGCCGAATTCAGCCCACCACCTTGCTTTATCTGCCTGGCACCTTGTTTCTACCCAGCAGCAGTGCTGAGCTCCTTGCCCCTATTTAAGAAGTTGTTACATTTATACAGTCCTAAAATTACATTCAACCCCTTTGAACACAACCTTGAGACTAATGTGGCCCCTGGTAAAAATGAGTTTGACACCCTTGACTTAATAGTTAGAGATGGAAAGAATATTCTTCTGCAGACCTTCAGTCTGGGCCACTGACTCAGGTCACAAGAAGGATGCTTGTCAGTTACACTGGATACTCCCACAACATGACTACTCAGCCCTGAGACCCAGACATGTCTCTTTTCTGAGTCTCCCCAAAATCAGAGCAACACAAGAGTGGACCTATTTTTTTCAAATCTATTTAAACTGTGTGAGAATATTTACCACTGACATATTGAAACTGAAAAACTAACAAATGAACAAAAATTACTGAACTTAAACTATGTTAAATGTAGATGACATCTACTGGATACTGGATATTATAAGTAACATATATTGTGAAAGTGACAGCTTCATACTATTAATTTAGGAAAGCATATTCTTTATCTGTAAATGACAAATGTCAAGTATTTAACAACTATGTATAAAATAAAGGTCAATGGTTCTATTGAGGGAGGTAAGATTATAGTCAACATGTATAATAGTCTTTCTCCTTTTGTCTTAGTTTGTATTCACTGACTGAACCCCCAAAATAAAAATGATTTAATTGTACTAAAAATTTACTTTGAATTATGTTAGTTTTATTTGCCATTTGTTAACTATCACTCCCATGCTGGTTAATTTTCACTCATAGTGATTACATGCGTTTGAGGTAATTTCATTATATCTATCACACAAATGTATTTTCTAAACCCCAAAAGTGATTTGTTTAAGAAATATCTCACATCAACTATCATAACCTGAGAGACAACCTGTAAATTTGTACCAAAGTCTCAGTATCATATAAAAGTCCTGTTTTCACTGGTTATATTTATTACATATTTCACCTGAATTTAAACACTAAGTTTATCAGATTTTTATTGTAACTACAAGTTTCAACTAAATTCAGAAAATTTTTTCAGTGTTCAAGAATTCCTACAATCTGTATATTCAGGTATCTTGGACTATTGCAAAAAAAAAAAAAACTTGATTGACTGAAGACTTTTGCTGAAAGGCCAGACTTTTGTTTCCTTAGTATTTCTATCTCAGATATACTTAGAGTATCTTTTTCAAAGAAGCAGTCACAGCAGGAACTCTGGACTTCTCTGTGTGGTTAACCAAACAGAAGCAGTGTAGCTCACCATAGATCTTCTGGATACCCTGCAGGTCATCACTGGGCAGCTGAAAGTTGTCAGTCTCCATGTACTGGTAGAAAGGGGCCATAATAGCAGTGGGGTCATTGGAGTGCTCCAAGCCCAGAGCGTGGCCCAGCTCATGAACTGCCACGAGGAACAAGTCGTTTCCTGTGTGATGAAAAGACAAAACTGACTGAAAAAAAATCCAGTTGAGAGTTAAGATGGACAATTCGGTGTCATCAGCATTTTACCCAAGAAAAATAAGGGGAAATCTTGACTTCAACTCTTGGTATGATTTTTTTAAAGATTTTATTTATTTATTTTTAGAGAGGGAAGGGAGGGAGATAGACAGAGGGAGAGAGAAACATCAATGTGCGGTTGATGGGGGTTATGGCCTGCAACCCAGGCATGTACCCTGGCTGGGAATCGAACCTGGGACACTTTGGTTCCCAGCCCACGCTCAATGGTATGATTTTATCCTTAGATTTCCTACCTGCAAAATCCAATATGTTGTTTAAAAAAAGGGTTGGTGGTGGAAAGGCAATGATCATTTCATTGAAGCCATAGAAATTTATAAAGTGAAATGGACAAACAAGGAATGAAAGTTGAAGAAAAAGTGCAGTGTCAGAAATTGCTACTACTGTAATAAAAATGTTCTTCTGATTATAAAGCATGTGATGTAAAACATTTCACTTCTATAACAATCACACTAGACATAATTCTAACAGTAACTCAGTGAGAAATTGAGGACAGCTATGATCCTTACTTTAATTCAGGTTAGTTAATGTAGGTGTATGGGTGACAAATCTTGTCTAGAGCAGCAGGTCTTTGTATTTATAGTGCTGCAACTACAACTTGGGTTATTATTTGTTATTTATTTTTCCTGCTAACATTATGTTTTTACAATTAAAAAAATCTATTACATTTAACATACAATATGATATTAGTTTCAGGTGTACAACAGAGTGATTCAATGTTTATATAATTTCCAAAATGATCACCACAATAAGAACCCACCTGACACCATATACAGTTATCATAATGTTATTGACTATATTCTTTATGAGAACTTGGGTTTTTATAGGAAGGCTTTTTTTTTTCTTACCTAGAATGTACAAATGCAGTTATGTAGGCTAGCAATCATAGTAACTAAATAACTAAATTTGCTCTGTAAATACAAGTTCTAATCAATTCATTGGTAACCAGAACAAAATATACTTACCTTAAGGTGACTGTTTCTCACTTAAAAAGAAGCAAAAACAGCTCTCTCACCCCTGGTAAATTTGCATGGTGACATCTATTTAAATGCAAACTCTCAGAAATGCTTGATGTGACTCTCTTCAGTCAAAACCCTATTGATGGCCACCACGTGTTGCCAACTCCATGGGGAAAGGCCAGTCATGTATGTCTACTTGTGAATGCCCAAAATTCAGCTGAGGCACATAAGCATTGAAGAGTTGAGTCTGTTACACATCTAATGGTCATGTTTCTCAGTGAAGAGCAGAACATGTGTGAACATAAATGTAAGGTTTTATTTTCAAGTATGTTTAAGTAAAATTGTTTGCAACCATTTGTTGAAATAATGCACTGTGGTAATTCCCTTCAGAGGGCAATTTTTATTTTTAATGTTTTTACACAAAGCCAGGTACATAATCAATATTTTTCACACTATAGTATTCTGTGTAGAGGAATGGATGAATCCCTGCAGCTGACTCCCAGGTGATATTAACATACCAAAGATGAGTCACTCAAATACTTCAGAGCCCACTTAACTCTCAAAGAAAAACTGAATAAATACTGGTGTGAAACAAGTTAGGGGTATTCAAAAGAAACAAAAGTTAAAATTTCTAATTTTAAAGGGCCTATCTTCTCCTGTTATAAAACTACTTGAAAGTGAAAATCAAGATAGGGAAAGTAAAATATCCTATGTATTAATTTTAATAACAAAAATTAACTACCTTTATTAAGAGTTTACTAATTCTGTTCTGGGCATTTTGAATACTTTACCTGCATTTTCTTATTTAATTATCACAACAATCTTATGAGTCAGTCACTATTATCATGCCCAATTTAAAACTGAGGGAAAACAAGGCACAAAGACAGTAAGTTTCATTTGCAAAGTCACATAGTAGGTAAGGTACAGCTGGAATTCAGACTTCTCAGTTTGATTCCAGAGATTATCCTCATAATTACTGCAGTAAATTGCAGCACAACTATTAAAAGTATTGTGATGCACAACAGATTCTACATTGTAGCCCTGTGAACGTTTCATTCATTCTATAGTCCATCCCTGCCATTACCTTTTATTGCATGCCTACTATACACTGGTCTAGATTCTGATGATATAGTAGAGAATGAACCATACAAAAATTTCTAATGGGGGAGACTGGAAAGAAACAAGAGAAAAAAGTAAAAACAGGATGCTACACAGTGATAAACGATAAGGAGAAATAAGTCAAAGAAAGGGTGAGGTCGGATAGGACATGGAGCTATGAACATGCATGGACTTTAGACAATTATGATGGGAGAAACTTCTAGTATGACCATGGTGGAGTCACTGAAAGCTTCTGAGCAGATCAAGGACACACTCTGACTTACATTTTACCAGGACTTTGGTGATTAAGCTTGACAATCAGGAGCACAGAGCAAGGAAGCAGTGTGCATCAAGTTGTGAAGTTAGTGCCAAGATGCTAGTAACCTGGACCAATGCAAGAGTGATGGAGTAAGAGAGAAACAGTGAAATTCTTGATGTATTTAGAAAGGAGGGTGACTGGGTTGCTTATAGGACAAGATGCAAGGTGTGAGGAAAGAAAAAGATAAAATACAATACCACATTTCAGACCCTGGCAACGGGAAAAATTAAAGTGCTATTCACTGAGATGGAGAAATCCCTAGGAAATTTTTTTGTTTGTTTGTCTATTTGATCTTGGTGGAGGTCAGAGGTGGGAAGCATTACCAGAAGATCATTTTTGAGTGCTCAGTTACATATGCTTTTTATCTCATTTTTAAATTTATTTTTAAATAGTTTATCTTTTGTTTTTATCTTTTTTTAGAAAGAGTGGAAGAGAGGGAGGTAGAGAGGGAGGGAAACATCAAACATTCAAACAATGTTTGAAAGACAAACATTGATTTGTTGCCTCTGGTACATGCCCTGATAGGGGACTGAACCTGCAACCTAGGCATGTGCCCTTAGTAGGAATTGAAGCATGACATTTTATTTTGCTAGATGATGCCAGCCAGGGCAGAGATGCTTTTTAAATATTCACTGGAGATTCAAGTCCATATATTAATTCCACATATGCACATGTAGGATAAAAGTATACATTCAAGATAGCATAAACAAAACATAATGGTTTCATTTAGGGGCATGGAAGGAGGGCCACATATAAGAGCAGAGATTCTGGTGAATGGTAGAAGTCCAGGTGGATGACTGAGAAAGACTCCTCTGAAGGCTTTAATTTGCTTAGTGATATAGGAAATTCATCAAGTGAACTAAAACTGGAGGGGAAAGGTGAGAGAAGAAAGTATGACATATTAAAATAGGGACAATGCACAGAGAATGCACCAGGGACACATAAAAGAATTGTCAGCAGTATTCATGATCATGAATTGAAAAGATGATTTCACTGTATGGAGTGTTGTTCTTCTCTGGCCTTATCCAGCTGTATGTATGTGGCACTTACAACCTCACCAGTTTTGGAATCAAGGTGAATTTTAAAAGCAGAGAGAAAAATAAAGAAGCTGTAGGTACATGTAAGGGAGTTATTTGACTCTCCATGGTATTTATGTTACATAAGGAGGGAAGCAATGACATTGGATGAGAAAGGCCTGTGACAAGATAAGATGGTAAAGTTAATTTAAGATCAAGCCTTACATTATAATGTGGTCAAAGGATATTTGGAATCATAGTATAAATGAGAATGAGCTGGAAGTATACTCAGTGGTAGTCACAGTAGAGATTAGAAACTAAGATTCATTAGAGCAATGTGAAAGATATAATCCATGGGAGTGAGTCTCTAGGTTAGAACAGAATATCAACTCATTGGAAAGGAGATCCAATAACTGAGAGGCTAGAACACTGAAAAAATTATCTGTATGACCACTGAGATCACCAAGAATTAAATAAGAGTAGCATTGAAGGGACTGGGGTCCAAGCAGGAGATAAAGTCAACAAGGAATAGAGATAATTACATGAGGTTAACTAAATGACTACAGCAATAATATAGTGGATGGAATAGTCTGGCAAAATCATAGTCAAAGCCTGGAGTTTCTAAGAATTAGTGTGGGACAATGACCCTGAAGTGGCATTAACAAGAAGAAAATATTTGCCCCATTATGCCCCATTATACAAGACCTGTGGTAGAAGAAATATGAAAGAGAAAATAGCCACCATTTTGAAGGAATGTAAGAGATATAGTATTATAATCAACAGAAAGACCAATTGTAGTTACAAAAAGAATCTAAAGTGAATATTCTCAAAGTAAATTGATCATTAAGGAGATTTTCTGGTGATTGACCTGGCACTTTTCTAGAGTGAACAGTTTCAGCAGACAGGGAAGAGAAGGAAATGGAGGCAGAGATGACAGGGTAGAAGTCATATGGGAGTTAGAGTCCCAGGGTTGTTGTGCCCTGTGTTTCCTAGGGTGACAAGTTAGACCCCCATAATCCCAACATTCCATGTAGATCATTATCACCTAAAGTATATCCTTAAAGGACTCAAAGAACTTGATAATCATTGTTTCTTCATTGCTCACAAAATAATCCCACATTCCTCAGCCAGATAACAAAGACCCTTCATCCAGGCATCCCCATCCTTCCTTTCCAATGTCACCCTCCACTTCTTTCCCTTGACCTTCTCTCCAGTAACAGAAATATATATATATATATATATATATATATATATATATATATATATATATATATTTGTTTAGTCTTTAAGTGCTCTGATGAGCTGTCTCACTTCTGGAATTGCCCTCTCTTCTATGGAGCAGATGACGTGACTGCACCAACTTCACCATTGCTATGAAGTCTCCCCAGGAGTGCTGTGACCGTATGTTCTCTTCAGGCCCTCACAGCCCTTTGGGCAGCCCATTATCATAACACTTCATAGCACTAACTTTCATCATCTTTTGGCAAATCTTCCCAACATATTTTGAAATTTTTAAAGA